ACAAGTGCCTTACTAGTAGTAACAAGAAGCTATTAGTAACAATTTAATTCTATTTTAATTCTAATAGCTTTTTGTTACTGCTAGTAGGGCACTTGTTACTAGTAGCGATGCACTTGCTACTAGTAGTAACAAGCATGTGTTCATTTGGGTTCGTGGGTGCCATCTTGTTCTTTTAAGGTCCGACAGAAATCTTTTTCAAACCTCGTCCCCGAGTGAAGGCCTGTGACCGCTGCCTTGCTTGGTCACTTGGCGCCGTGACGACCATCGAGGTGTTTGTAAAGTCAACAAAGGACTCCAAGACCTGCGACAAACTACGGAGTTATCTGAGTGGTAACTGCTCAAACCAAACTTTCCCATGGATTCCCTGCTCGATTCCCTTCATCAACTCCAACACCGACATGCTTAGTGCCAAACCCAAGTGTTGCCGACACGCTCCGCAGGGGTCATGGCAGCGTTGGTGACGAAAAGTGCAACAGAAGTGAAGCCAGCGGCTAACTCTCCGTCCCTTGGCAAACGAGCAAACCGCACACTAACAGACACACACACACACATCATACTAGTACATGTAAACATGATCATACAGTAATACATGCACTGTGTAAACATGCGGAAGTTGTGTACCCATTTTTCACCTGAGCTCATAAGCCAAAGGCCAAAAATCCTGAGAATGAGTTGAGAGCAAATACTCAGGCTTAAATCGTGAATGAAAACTGGACAACCATAATTGACAAAGTCATGTCACCCAGAAACCGGCCGACTTATGTGTCCAACACTTTTGTCTAGTCTAGTCATACCTTCTGGATCTCTGCAAGGTCAGTTGAAACGTAACGCGTGTGCAAGAGTTCTTGCGGCTTCAAGATCCCTTTCGACCTGTGACTGCAAGATTTCTTGGACCTCTCCAAGCACACTTTTGCTCACATGACCGTCTCCAAAAGGACTGTCTCCTCTTCTCTGTGGGCTCGAGGTTTCTTTCCATCTCATATCTCCCTCGATCCAAGTCCAAATTTCACGCCGTGCTTCCCAAATCTGAAACTTGAAGTCGCCTTGCCATTCGCGGAACATCACCCAAAGTGCGCTCAAAATGCTCGAGGTACTCTCTGTGAAACGTAAAACTTCAATCTTGCTCTCTGCATCTCATCTCTCTGAGCTCCCTGAAGCTCTTCGAAAGTGACTCCTCGAGGCTTGGAGTTTAACTTCGAATCCGCCAATTCGTCCTGATTTCCAAATTCTCCATCAGCACCCTGTTTACATGCCATGATACAACATGTTTACACGTGTCTTGGTCAATGCCGCAATTCTGGCCAATGCCCAGTGTGCGCACATGTGAACACTCGATCAAAACGGTCCTTTACATTCCTTTACCCATTGGAGGACACAGTGTTCAAGAAGGAGAAATGAGAGGATATGAGAGGCATCAGAATGAAATAGGATGAAGTAGGAACATGTTGAATTTTTGACGATTTCTGCAGCCCAGAGCACCGGGCCAAGAGCACCGCCACGCGGCCATCACCTTCACAGCGCTCAAAGACGCGGTTTGGAGTCACGGCTAAGCAGCTCGCTGCGAAGTCAAAGCCCAACGGAGCTCCTGACGGGATGAGGAGCAAAGCCTCCAACCTACTTGCAATGGCCTCCAACCTAAGAGCGGTGGATGGCCACTAACCTACTTGCAATGGCTTCCAACCTGGAGCAAAAATGAGCAAACAGGAAGGCCCAGGCCGCCCAGGCCCAAGTCGGAAGGCGGTAACGGTTCAACTGCTCGAAAGATTTGGTGAACGAAGACAAATTGCACATCAGCTCTATCAGAATCAGCTCAAGCACTAGCATGCATCGCTACTAGGAACAAGAAGCTACTAGGGGATCCTGGCCTTACTAGGAGCAAGGACGCTACTAGGAAAGCAAAATAAGAAGCTGTTGAGAATCTGCCAAGCTGCTGATGCGTACGTGAACAGTTCCACCTTGTAGCAGCGAAGCCAAAGACGCCTGCAGCACGGGCCATGACAAAAGCAAGAGTGTGACTTTCAGGAGTTGGACAGAATCGATTGAACAGCTCATCGGTTAAAATCATAAATCCTAATGAAAATGACTCTGCTCCAAGTCATTTCGTACTGTTCCGGTTCTATTCGTCACCCTGGCCTTGGGGTGGATTGCCAATGTCACCGTGACCGACAGCTGCGGTGCCACGCCGTTGGCCTGCGGAGTGAGTGAGGTACTGCCGAAGGAGGCCTTCAGCACGAAGCCTCAGCGAATCGACGCAAAATGAACCAACAACGTATTTCGGTCTGAAGCTTTGACCAAATTGGACTTTAAGTAGTTGCGGGCCCCTGAAAAAGTCTTGGTGAATGATGTGAATGCTGAGTCGGCACCTGTGACATCCTGCAATGACACCTTCTTAAGGACCATTTCACAAATCATCTTGCTCTTCATGCCTGGAAAAAGGTCGTCGTTGCTTGCAGTGACCTCCTGCCGGGCGAGATAGCGAACAGGTTCAAGCGCACGAAATGCACACGACACGACAAACGAAGCCGAAGCAAGTCGACAGAAGTCTCACTGCGTTTCGATGAAGTGACTCTCCTCGCATGGCCGATCTCGGCAAGTACGCAGCAGCCAAGAGCTCTGATGCGTCTCGTCCCACAGCGCCAAATCCTCTGGTGCTGCGGGTGTCCGCAGCCTGCAAGTGGAAACCAGAAATGCTAGCTCGGCCTCAGCGGCCTACTAGTACTATCAGGTTGGAGGCCATCGCATCAGTGCAAGAAAACCAATTTCCATCATTTTCATCTCTGTTGAGAGGCAAAGGTCCAGCAAGCTCGGGAAGTTTGCTCCAGCCTCACAGAGAACCTTACAATCTGACCTTGGTGCCCAGTTTGAACTTTGAAATTGTCTGGGTTGATGAGAGCTCCAATGCATTCCAGTACGTAAATAACTACTGAATTACAATCTGAACGAACAGGGGCCTGTGGTTGAACTTCTGTCAAGGCACCCGCAACCAAAGGTGTCAGCATCTGGACTGCCAAACTCGGCCGTGATGAGAAGGGCACGTTGGGGTCAGGTGAGGCGTCGTCCAGAAAGACTTGTCCCGAAATCAGAGGGAAGCCTCCAAAGCAGGATGCACCACGCACACTTGAATGTTGCTTAAGATTATGCAAATGACACTTTACATCTTTGCGACGATCATCAATCATCCTGATGATTGCTATTTACACCCAAATGTTGCTACAAAAACACACAAGGTGCGTGGGATTTAGAGGGCGACGATGGGAGACGTTTTCAAAAGGATGTAGGGAACTGCTTGGCAAATTATCATTGCAACTGTATTACAAGTGCGACGACCACACTAGTGAAACAAACTGGCCGAGTGAAACTTGAAGAATCTCAGGCGTGCATTTACTGTAGTCACACTGTAGTCGATTTAGTACAGCGTTTCATGATGCTATTATGACTGTTCACGACGCATGACGCTTCCTTGCCTTCGCCAGGGCTGAAGCTGCGTTCCAAGAAGCGAAAACCCTGTGGAGCACGCAGCTCTAAGATTTGCCCTGCTGAGACACCATGGAGCAGCGAAAAGGCCACAAAGAACTCCGTATTGGCAATATCCTACGGGAATTCCGTGTTCCCGGATGTTCCCAGGTGCTACCTAGACTCGCTGGTAGACTTTACTAGGCCTTACTAGGCCTCAGGTGGCTTTTAACTGACAAAACAGTGTAGTCTGCGCATATTGTTCGCCAAGGAGCAAAGAAAGGATCTGTGAGATCTGTCTGTTCCAGCATGTTAAGACGAATCAAAGTCACCTGAAACCATGTTAAGACGGGATCCCGTCCCATGCCATGTTTGGCCTTCTCTCCGTCTCTTCCTTCTCTTCACTCTACGCTTCGACAAGCTACCGGGCCCAGAAGATTCACCGAACGATCCCGAACGTTCTCGTCAAGGACTCCATTGATGAAGACCTTTGGCAGGTTTAAAGTGTTGCCCCCGCTTCAATAAAGCAACTCGAAAAGAACAAACACCAAACCAAAACACAAAGATGGCAACGCGCCCCCACACAGCCGTGTGTTTTGGACACGTTTTGTCAAAAACAACATATGTTTTGTCAGTTTTGGAAAAGCTCAGCAGCGTTATTTCCCGTTTTACGAGAAGAAACCGTTTAGAAACCATTTAAACATCCATTTCCAACATCCAATTTTTTTTCATTCTTTATAAAGAGGCAGCACCGGCCACAGTACGCTTGCGAACCCAGTGTCCTTCTCGTGTCCTTCTAATCTGGCCGCGCTGACGAATTCTGTGTCCTCCTGTCATCCTGCCCTGTGTCCTGTCCGGGTGCCCTCCTGTCCTCTGCCCGTGTCCTTCTCTTGTCCTCCTTGTCCTGGTGCTGAGCCCTGCCTTGTCTTGCCCCCCTTCTGTGTTTTTGGCGTCTAGCCGCGCTCGGTGTCCGGGTGTTGTTCTCCAGTTGTCCTGTTGTGGCCTTCTGTCCTTTGGCCGTGCTCACGAACCCCTCTGTCCTCGTGTTCCCGAAACAGTTTACTCACAGAAGCTGCATTCTGCCCGATGAGAGGGATCTAAGTGCAACTTCGGTAAAACATGGAAGGAACGATAATTGAATGTGAGGGGAGAGCCAGAAAGCATTCACGGAGTTCAACAAACTCTTTGCGTTCTTGCTCCTAGTAGTAAGGCCAGGAACCCCTAGTAGCGTCCTTGCTCCTAGTAGCGATGCCCTTTGCTCCTAGTCGCTTCTTGTTACTGTGAGGGGATGGCCAGAAAGCATTCTTGTTTCACGAGGTCCAAAGACTGTCGACCTGAACACTGTCTCGAGCTGCTGTGCAACGATATGTCAACCCTTAAAACTCCGACACAGCTCATCAAGAAGCTCTGTTCTCCAGCGGGGATACTCAATGACCTGTTTGCTCATGAAAACCATCATTGTGTTTTGCCGAGCATCAAAGGTGCTCAGAGTCCAAAGCGCTGTGCCAGGGCTCAAAGGGTTTCTGACATCTGCCACGGTGACGCCGTAGGCGAGGCCCTGTCGGCAGGTTCCTTTGTCCAGTTTGTGCTTATAAACAGTTTTTGCTGATAGTAACAAGAAGCTACTAGTAACAAGTGCGCCGCTACTAGTAACAAGTGCCACGCTAGTAGTAACAAGCGCCACGATAGTAGTAACAAGTGCCTTACTACTAGTAACAAGTGCCACGCTAGTA